GGGCCACAAAATAAATACAGTAAAATAACAGAAAATAACTGACTCGTAGAAATACAGTAATCTTCTATAATTAAAATACAGTTTTTTGCTTTAATTTTACATGAAAACTTGTGTAATTAAAGATATTTACACTGTAAAACCAATGAAATGAGCCATAAATGCAGGCAAACTCTGCTATAATACAAATAATCAGGCTTAAATTTACAGAAGTTCGGTTATTATTTGATTTTTCTTATTTTAATCTGAATGTTAAAAGTTATAGAACTGTAATAAAAGTAATTATCTGTGAAATTACAGTAGTACGCACAAACAATATTACTCAGTTAGATTCAGGGAAACATCTTCAACACTGACCTACGCCCTGTATCTACAGCCCTGACCTATTTTATTTTTTATTTACTTTACCTTTATTTAACCAGATTGTCAATTGAGAACCGATTCTCTTTACAATGACGACCTAGCCAAGAGGCAGCAGCAAGACGCAAGCCAGTACAACAAGTAAACCATTCATACAGCTAATGGAGCTACAACCCCCTACCACAATAACAATGCATCACATTTAATACGTTATTATAGAAATGGAACGGAATATGGAAACCACACTGTTAACGTCAGGGAACCTTCGTAGGATCTCCAGGACTGATGTCCGACCCGTCCATCCACTCATCAGCCCTCTGCACGCTCTCTGGCTTCAATAATAACGTCGGTTTGCTGCAATGACTGATGCTTTTTCTGGGTTTCTGGGACAGTGTGGGATATTCGCGTTCCTCAGAAGATGATTCCTCGTGATTTTACTGAACCGTCCCCTCCCCTGTAGAATCAGAGCAAACATCTAAAATCGAGTGTCCCTGTTGACCTTGAGAGCAGCTGGAGCAGCGAGCTCCTGGTAGGGTCTCTTTAAGATAAACTGCTCCGTGGACAGCGGCCAAAGAGTGATTCACAGACTCCAACGAGCCAGATATACTGTATTAAATCCTACCTTTGCCAGAACAGAGAGACAGAGGGATATTTCACAAAGCGGCAGTTATTTTGACTAATAGCCGTTTCACAAAGCCAGATTGGACGGACTCCATTTAAAGTGAGTGTGTGTGTGCAGCTTCCAGCCAAACAACTGACATTAGGAATCACACATCAATCTAACTCGTGCGCTTTGAAGAGCCGTCCACTGAAACAAATCCCAACACCCGGTCATCATGTAATCACATGTTTCTGCCTTGTTTCTGCTTTGTTCTACATCAAAAGGCTTGTAGTTGTCAGGGAGCCCGGGGAGTTGTTAAAAAACAAACTATTTCTGAATTATTTCTAGTGGTGAAACAAGAACTCAGATCCTTTAATTAAGTGAAACCAGAAATGTCACAGTGTAAAATAGACTTTATTATCAGTAGAAGTTGTGATATCATCAGAAAGAAATGTATATGAAGTATAAAAAGGATGTATCGCCAGCAGATCTCAGAAATTAGATGGACTCAAACAAGTCGGACACAGAAACTAGAGAGCTGTTTGCTTCCTCGTATTTACGTATTTCCTGTATAAAAAGGCAGCTAGGAGGGGCTTGCAGTACCCAATAGCGCTGAATGTTACGTGTCAACTAATGTTAGCACGAGCTAACTAGTGAAAAGCAGCAAAAATTACTGTTGGTGACAGTCCATCTGGAAAAAATCACCTCGTTACTGCTGGTTGTGTTTATTCGGAGGCTGCTGAGCCCCGTTCGGTTCCTCCAAAGTCAAACTCACTTCCTATTTTCTAGCGTTGAAGATGCAGACGTGTTGCGACGCGAACGTTTAACACATTCAACCTCCAAACAGTCGATTTTATCCTCACTGGAACAAGTTCACTTAGATTTTTAAATGAATTATACAAAAAAAAAAAACGCAACTATTTACTTTCTGCCGCAATTTCAATGCAAAAAAACTGCCTAAAAACATCGCAACAAGCATCACAATTTTCTGGTGATCCAAGAATAGCTTATTTATATTATTTAAAGATATTTAGTGATGAGTCAACCTCACGCACAAATCATACATCAACCGTAGCCTAAGTTTACGTATAATCCATGATGAAGATGTACAACGCTAGGGGGCGCCAAAGCTTGATACGGAGTCGTGAGGCTTTCTTGGTTTTAAGGTGTGCTAGAAAACCTAAAAAACACACACAGTAGATCTATAACTCAACATTTGCTTCACTTTTGTTAAGAATAGTAAATGTGAAGTGTCTAATAGAACAATGACCAAGTGTCAGGGAGAAAAAAACACTGAATTTATCAGAAAAGAAGCTTATTCAGTCTGTATGACTGTTAAAAATAATAGGAAATACATCATACAGACAGAGAATTGTATAAAAAGTTCCGTTGCTCAAAATTCATCAAAATCACTTATTTTACACAGACTTCCTGCAGTTACAGGAATATAATATGAAATATCCATAAAATACGTCACTATTTTTGCAATTTCTACTCTCTCCCACAGTTCATTGCTTAAAAAACTCTAAAAACATCACAGTTTTCTATAAAAGCTGCTGTGAAATCAGATATTTTAGGCCAAAAAGGTCACAAATCGTGTTTTCAGGGGAGCTCGTGTCTTTATAAAAGCTGTGATATAGTTCCCACAGTGAGAGCTGCATGCTGATACACATCTACAATAAATGCACCACATCTATTCTGACGTCGATATCAGCAGTAAATCGTGTGTGTGCAGTGAGTGAGGGGGCGGGGAACTCAATGACCCTTATACCCAGCCGCCAAACAGCATGAACATCGTGACAAGACAGGGGAATCTGAGTTACTGATCAGCTCCAAACAGGTTTGAGCAACACCTGAGGCTCTAACTGCTGCCAAAAACATGTGATCACTGCTGCCCCACATATGTTTTCCATCCGCTGCTGCGGAGACGCGTCCTCCACCCCCCCGACACTATACATCCGTGGCCCCTCACTGCACTCGTAAAGAATTAAGCGATTACAGGACATGTGCGCACAATAATCCTGCAGCTGGAGCGCCAGAAATAACAGAAAATACCTGGATCTTGAGAGAACATCTTCTGTAATTTAAAGAGTACAGATCCCTTCTGTAGCTGCTATAATATTCAACATACCCACACTTTTCTCCTTGCTCATGGTCTGGCGCTTAATGTCAGTGTCAGTCTACACATCACCGTATATACACCCTGTAACAGCCCACAAAAAATTACAATGAGCTATAATACTACATACGAATCTACAGCAGCGGTGCCTGTTATTATTTTGACCTTTCTCCTTATTTTTCAATTCAAATACGTTAAAGGCGTTTGGTTACGAACTGCTAAATGTACTCTGCTGTTTTCACTGATAACAAACCTGTATTTTTACGCGTTTAGCAATGCTGCATACACTGATAACACAACATTTATCCTGAACGCGTT